GTAGCTAGTCTGTTCCCGCTATTTATAAAAGGCTACCGATACTTTAACGAGCTTATAAATAGCTAGACTCGCAAGACTTAAACCTTTTTGTTCCGGGATCGAAAGGAAATTAATAAAGCATTAATTAAGAAAAAGAAAAAGCTCGAGCGATAATTAAGCTAGCTTTTCTTAGTAATAAGGACCGATAATGCGTTAGAAATCCTTAAAACTATTACCGTATAAGCTAAAGCAAAAAGAATAGCTATTTATAATACGGAACCTTACTCGTCTTATTAAAATAGCGCTGCCGAACGCTTTATTAAGATTACCGAGCATTATATCAAGACAGCACTTAATAATGCTGAGCTGCTTGTAGAATTTTAATGCAAGGCTATTAAAGCGCAAGCGTATACTCGTATTAAGCTACGCCGTAGCTTTAAAGTAGTAAAAGATATTATAGATAAAATAATAAGACAACCTTTCCGTATAAAATATAAGATATCCTTTTAAAAGGCTTAAACGAGAAAAGTGCTTAAGGTAAAAGATTATGTTAAAGCATAAGGTTGTAAAGTCATTGCTTACGTTCTTCGAGAATCTCTTTTAGCTAAGATTAAAAAAGATAAGCTTATGCTTCCGAGCAAAGAAAAGATCTTTATAAGCTATGACGAGAATACTACTTTTTATTATAAAGTATACATTTTCGAAATGCATAGCACTATTATATCGTCTAACGTTAAATTCTTTAAAGATATTTCTAATAAAGCGATCGAAGACTTTAAGCTTTAAATTGAATTGTCCGACGGCACGTTTTAAATATCAAAAGGCACGTATAACTAGTATGTTACTCGTGCACGTAAAAAGCGACTTAAGTTTGCCGACTTACTTACAATAGACTCGGTTCGCAAAGAGCAAATCAAACATCTTTTAAACTCTATTACGAAAGTTGGAAAAGGATTAGCTTTTAAAACTAAAAATAGCTTATTCGATAAGAACGTTGATTATACTTTCGAAACGCCGTTTAAACTATTAATAACACTCTTTTGCGTTATACGATCTTAAATGAAGAATGCTGCTTTTCGGAATAAAGAACTTAAAAGAGCCGAAGCGACTTCGCTTTCGAAGTCAATATCGCTTGTTTTTAAAACGAGATTAAGCGAAGACTTTAACGATAAAACGATTAACTTAACTTCTTTTTAGCAAGACTATTAACTTGTATAAATTACTTTTTAAAAGATCACCGGAACTAAAAAGAAAGCTGATAAAGAGCTTTTTAATGCTTTTAAGACATCGGTACAGCTTCGACAAGGTTAAAGTCTACTCGATATTAAGCTAGATAAATATGCAAGTGATACCGATTACGGTAAACGATATGCTAAGACTTTTACGTTTTAAACTTCGCTTATTATAAAGAAGAAAAAAAGCGTTTTGTTAATAAAAAACGAAAGAGCAATAATAGCTATTCTTAATTAGTTTAATAAGGCTAACGATATGTCGGATACTAAAGAAATAGCAATAATAGCGCACGCGGTTAAGTACGACATCTTTATCTTTATCACTTATAAAGAGGCTGTAAAGCATTTTATATATAGCAAAAGATAAAAAGAAGCTATTGATGTCGAGTTTGCTGCACTTATTATTAATTATATATAAGAAGAACGCATCCTTTCACTTAGAGCTAATTTTATTAGTTGTAAATAAGTATTTACACTTAAGTTTAAAGCAGATAAGACTTTCGAACGCTTTAAGGCTAAGCTAATAGCGAAAGGCTTCTCTTAGATGTATAGCGTTGATTACGACGAAACATTTGCGCTTATAATTAAAATAGCGACCTTTAAGGTATTTTTTATAATAGTTGCTTATAAAGATATAAAGACACGCTAATTCGATATTAAAAACGCTTTTATCGAGTTTATACTTAAAAAAGAGCTATAGATAAAGATCTCGAAAAGCTTAGAACGCACGAAGCGAAGATCCGCGCTTCGGCTTTTATAATCTTTATACGGCTTTAAATAATTTGCACGCGACTAAAACCTTTTGATAAAAAAAGAGCTTCTTAATTAAGGATTCTTATAAAGCAAAGCAGACTTTTGTTTATTCGTGCACTTCGAAAAAGAAATCAAGCTTTTAATATACGTAGACGACTTAGCTATAGCTGCTTCGGATGTTAAGGACCTTAACTAGTTTAAAAACCGCTTACATTCGCGATTTATTATTAAGCTAATAAGCGAGATATCAATAATCTTTGAAATTAAAGTTATTAAAAATAAAAAGAAAAAGACTATTTAGCTTGATTAAAAAATATACTTAAATAAAGTCTTAAGCAAGTTTAAGATCTCGAACTTCGTTTTTAACGCGAGAAATGTATTTACACTTATAAATAAATATAACGATCTTTACTTAGCTTCGGATTATAATAAAAAGGTTGATGCTACTTAGTATCGTAAAGTAATTAGTTTATTAATATATGCAATAGTATACACTCGCTTAAATATCGCTTTCGTACTTAATCGCTTGAGCTAGTATATGCAAAACCCGGCAAAGCATTACGCTTTAGCGCTAAAGCGCTTAATACGCTATTTACGATTTATTATTTCTTTTGTTATTTTTTTCGGCTTTTCAAGACGCTTAATTGTGTATTTTAATGCGGACTACGATAGCGATAAAGACGGTAAGAAGAGCATCTCCGCTGCAATAAGTCTTATAAGAAGAAAGTTAATATTCTTCGGCAATCGTAAGCAAACTTTTATAGCTACGGTTATTACGGAGGCTGAATACGCGGCTATATGCTATACCGCAAAGCAAAGCTAATAAGTTGCTTAGATCTTTCGTGATATAAGATTCGGTAGTTATATAATTAAGAATCATTAGACTGTAAAAATGAAAGGCGATAACTAAAGCGCTATCGTATTCGTTAAGAACTTTTATCTTACGAAACGATCGAAGCATATCGATATCGCTTATTATTACGTTCGCGATTTAGTAGATTAAAAGAGGTCTTTCGTATCGTATATACTTATAGCAAAGATAACTGCCGACGGCTTCTTTAAACTATTGCTAAAAGTCTTATTTTAAAAGTTCGTTAAGATAATAAGTATAATTAATCGATCGAAGCTAGTATCAAACTTTTAGATACGCGAAGAACTTCACTTAGCTTTTTCGCATATCGAAAAAAGAGATTTATTTTCTCGACAAGACAAAGAAGCAGTAAGAGCTATTAGCAGCATTAGAATGGAAGTGTTAGAATAAGAAATTCTTACTTTATAAGGTCTGTGCTGTTGCTGCTAAGCAATTCTAGAAGAGATGGATAATGACTGTTAGTTGAAAGAATGAATAGCTGGCTAGCGTAGAAAAAGAACTGTATATAGTTCTCTTCCTCGGAAGAGATCTTCTCTCTTCTAGATAACCAAAATAATATAATTGTAACCACCTTCTGCTTTCCCTAATCATAAGGAAGAATTATCTTCTTATATTTTTTACGATTTGCAACTTGAATTACTTTATAATAAAAAAAGCTATATTGATAAAATTTGAATGCATTAATCGGCGGAATCGAGCTCTTTAAAAATATCAAATTTTTAATATTATAGCTTTACTCGTTATTAAGTTATTTCTAAAACAAGTTGAAATAATTGAAATGGGACACTTGCTTGACCTGGGACACTTGCTTGCCTTGACTATGACCGAGAGCCCGCAGGTCACGAAGTCAGTGCACTGACTATTAGCTGAGAAAGCTGGAGAGATAAATCAAAGGTCTATATAAGGGTTCGAAGTTCTTAGGGCGAGAACTATGAAGTGAAAGACTTGTCGTAGCCTTAGGCTACCAGGCTACTATAGGTGGCACAAACCACTTGAAAGGGTATATAGCAGCCTTATATTGCTCTGAGCTCTTAAGAATAACAACCACCTTGCTCTATCATCTTATTTCCTTATATTGTCTCCTACCCTCGAAGGGTAATACTTACGCCTGGGTCCTGGGACGTAGTATTTTGGGCATGTACCAAGTATGTCCTTCATAAGGGTCCGTGCGTCCCACTCAGCCTTGGCATCTTTAGCATTCTGAATTGACCGTTCCATCTCCTTAGACTAAGATGACTTGAAATACCGATAGTTAATCTTAATAGCGCACACCAAACTCCTAGCTGAATCAAACTTTCGCTTTTTTTTAATAAAAGAAAAAGGATGATATATTTATCGCTCGAGCTCTTTATGCGGCCAAGATATTAGCATCCGTGCGCAAATTTCATCTTAGTAATATATCAAAGATCCATGATCTATTCAGATTCGCAGGCTTTTGAATGGTCAGCCAGAAGTCTTTCAGCAAGAATGATTTCAACTTTGTCCGCATTCATTTAATCGAGTTTGCGACTCTTTCAGCCCTGTAAGTCATCATCTCCTAGCCTGGGTAATGCCCGCTCCAATCGATAGTATATATAGTCAGTCGTATAAACAGTAGGCTTTCCCCCTCCTTTTTTTTAATTGCCTGGAATCTGGATGTCATACGGACCCCACCATGCTTTCAATATGGATCATCAAATACTATTATAGATGTGAGTCTAATAGAGTTACTACAACGAGCATGGATTGTTCAGTTGATATTGTTACTACGTAGCTAGCCTTCCCTCCCAATCCTCAATCATGGCAGGTCAGCTGACCAGTAAACACAGGTGGCTGGCTGTTCAAGTCGATGCCAACTGTCCTACGATAGATCTGGAATTTCGCCACCAGCCTAGCTAGCTAGCTAGCCTCACCCTTACTGTCTCCATTTCCATCTCCATCGCCATCCCTATCTCCATCTCCGTCTCTGTTTGCCTCGAGCGATAAGCAATAAGCAGCAAGCAGCAACTTCTTCGCCATGGAAGGGTGCAGGCCCAGGCCCATGGGGTCCCCATCACGTGCTATCATAGTGCCTAACACATCAACCGCTGGTAATAGAAACAAACAAACAAATACCGCCTATCTAGCTGGCATTCCCACGCTGACTGTGAATCATAGCCGCTTCGCCCACACTCAACAGCCCCAGCATGGGCTCCGCAGCGCCAAATCCGTTCCAGCACGCATATTCACAATCACAATTACAATCGCAATCACAGTCACAATTATTATCACAATCACAATCACAATCACAATCACAATCACCATCACAATTACAATCACAACCAGAACCACAACCACAATCCAACGGCACCTTTCAAAATCCGACATCGCCTACAACGGCGGCACCCGCTTCTTACGCCTACGTCAGCGTCCATAATCCCACTAACCAAAACAGCATCACACATCTGACATTACCCAGAAGCTCTTTGTCACGCTCGCCCTTCTTTAGGACAAAACTAGAGAACCTCTCTTCAGAACTCGATCTCCCCGTTGTGCACATTGTTGCCGACCCGGTTCATTTTAAGATCGTAGCCCGTTGGATGACCACTAACGGTGTCTTAAACGGGAGTGGACGCTTACCTAATCTCAATACGCTCTGCAGACTAGCCTTCCTAGCTGACCGGCTTGATCTATGGGAGCTGGTTGGCCAGCTGCTGAGCATGGTGAAGGCCGGCCAATTCGAAGGTGATGGAAGTAAGGCGCCTAGTCATGCCGAGATGTACCAGCATACGAGACCGGGGAATCCATTCCGCAATTACGCTGCGGTGGATTACGCCAAAAGGTTGTCCGTCGGATCACCAGCACCGGGGCTATCCACAAACCTGCCGGCCGCGATGCTGATCGACGTTGTGAACATCCTGGTACAGCATCACCAACAGCTCAAGAACGAGGCCGAGGCGTTGAAGCAAAAGATTCAGTCTCTGCAATCGGACATCCAGGGCACGCAAGAAAAAAATGAGGCCGAAAAGCAGAAATTTTGCATAGAAGCGGAGCTGAATAAAGAAGTCAGTCTCAAAGCGAAATACGACGCGAGATACAATGCAAAGCTTTCGGAAGCTTTAGCGAGCATGAAGAGTTCTATCGAGTCACAGTTTAACGCAAAGATTGTGCAGGCTAAAAAAGACTTAGAGGATAAACACGCCAAGGATCTTGAAAAATACAGGCAAGCCTCCGTCAACCCTTCATCCTCGCGGACTGGGCAGCCCGGGAACCAGGCGGATACGACAGCCAATTTTGAAAAGCAGTTTGACGAGCGGTATCAGAAGCTGGTCAAGGAATCCAATGAGCGCAATCTCGAACACAGTGTAGCTGTCGCAGAGCTTGAAAAAACATATAATTCAAAAATAACTCGACTTCAAAAAGAGATCGCGATCTTAAAGAGCAATGCCGATCCGGGACTGGTACCGGTTCTAGAACACCCAAGGGCTCACAGTGAAGAGGCTGATTCGCGGACAATGGGAGAGCTTGCTCAGGCCTTGAAAGAGAGCCAAGCCGAAACAATGAGGTTGAAAAAAAGCGAAGACCAAAGCGAGGCCAAAATCAACGAGTTATCACAAAACATTCTTGACGCGGAGAGCACACGTCTGAATGAGATCGAGGCTCTGCGGGCAACCATCGAAGCCAACGAAACCCGGAGCAGAAACGCGATTGCGGATGCGGAAAGCCGATGCGCCGAAGCCAAACGCCTGCATCAGGATTACCAGATCGAGATCGCTGCCTTGGAAACCGCCGCGGTATTATTGCAGAACCCAAACCCAGGATCTGATGGCAGCCACCGAAAGAAGAGCCAGCAGGGCCTTGACGAGCCGGAGACAGCAATTACCGCACTGGAGGCCAAATACACGCAGCTGGAACGGGCATACAACGACCTGGCCGATGATAAAGAGAACGAAGTGGCCGAACTCCACCGAAAGCTGATCGATTGCGAAGAGCGCAACAGGCTGGAAGTAGAGCATATCCAGAAACTCCTCGACGATATACGGCAGCGGTCCGAAAGCGATCTCGCCGCCCAGAAGATGATGATGGAAAGCACGGACGAGCAGGCGCGGCGCCGGATATCGGGTCTGCAGAATAAAAAGAATGAGATGCAAGCGACGATTGATCGGCTGCAGAAGGAGGTCGATGACTTGAAAGGAGAAGAAGACGGCGTGAAAGGGGAAGAGGCCCAGAAAAGGAAGAGCCTGAAAAGGAGTAGCGAAGAGGCGGCGGGCCAAGAGCCGAGTCGGGATGGAGGAAGTAATAAAAGGGGCCGCTCTGGAACTCTTCCACGGCGTTGACGGTTTATACTGATAAGGGCTGGATGATATAAACAAAACAGAACGGATTAGATGATCTATAAGCCTGGATTACGGCAGGAGCAACCTTATCTATAACTGTTACCAGGGCAAAGGACCAAGTTCTTCGTAATGTCACCAACGGGCTAATTACTCGATTCTAAAAATCTTTATATATTTAAGTAAATTATAAAATAAATAATAATAAAAACTAAATAAATATAAATGTGGTTAACGTAAGAAATAATTTATTTAATAATTTATTATAAAAAAGAAACCTTTAAAAAAAAACCCTTTTTTTTTACCGAGAAGACCTTAGACCTTTTTGTGACGACACGCCAGGTCTCCTGGACGTATCCTTATATGCGCCAAGCTACCTCCCTCTTTTTTTCCTTCGTATTTTTCGTATTCTTTTATTCCCCTTTTTTAACTTATGAACTATAGTTCACGAGTCCTTAGCGCTTTTATTTTCGTGTATATAAACCTTAGCTATCTTTGACTTTTATACTCGATAGTTATTGATTTTAAGTTATTACTTTAAGATTCTTTTAAGCTCTTATATGACCCTTGCGCTTTCGTAAGTTCTTTTAAGTAATCGCTTAAAATCGTTATATTATTAATAATTACCGCACTCCGCCGAAAACAGCTTTAATAATATTTCTTTTTAAAATTCTTTAATAATTTAACGTTAAAACACTTAAATGATTCTAACGGTTACAAAAAGGCTTATTTTAAGTATAACTTAAAAGATAGCACTTATCTAATATAGCAACTTTCGCTTTACGAGCAAAATCTTTTATACCCTTTTTAAAGCTACTTTAAAAGTTCCTTTTTTTTTTTCTATAGCTTATGCAATAATCCTTTCTACTTAAAAAGAAGCTATTAATAAGCAAGACGATAAAGATGATCCTTCGGCTCTTACCAACCTTGAAAAAGCCTTGGCGGCTGGCCTAATATTAAAGCTCTTTTTTAATTCTAACGAAAGGCTATTAAGCTTAAAAATTTTTTTCGCAAATATAAAAACCTGTAACGAAAAGCTCGATAAAAGAGCAAAAGGCCTTCGCTGATAAAGCTGAAAAAAAAAGCACGGCGAGCTCGAAAAAAACTAGACTAGCTTTAAGCGGTCTTGCTAATTACGAAACGCCTTTCGAAGCTTTTTAAATGTCCTTCGAAGATAATTTTAAAAGCAAGAAGCTATACAAGCTCTCGGCCTTTCAAGCTACTCTTTTTACTTATAAAACCGCCAACTTACGCCGCCTTTTCGCCGACGACGATAAACTACCTTCTCTTCAGACTTCATATGCTAACTAACCTTCGCATTTTAGCTAAGTTTAATATCTTTAAAGTTTTTTCTTTAGCATTTTAAAGCCGCGCTCGCATCAAGCGCATCTTTAACCTTAAATAAAAACTTTTAAAAGGTATAAGCTATCGAGCACGCTATTAGCAAGCCCGTGTTTTCGATAACTTAAAGGCTTTCGAAAAATACTTTTTTATAAAACGCTAACGCAAAAAGTACGTTCTTAATTAAATCGAAAAAAACAGCTTACTTATTCTTAATTCTTTTAATCATAGATCGTAGCAACTTTATAACCGCTTCGAAGCTCGTTTAAATCGCTTTCGAGTTTTTAAACGATATTATTAAAAAAGTGAAAGCGTTAATTGAGTTTAAAAAACTTTATATAAAACTCAATTAGCAGTTTTAAAACTTTTACTTTGTTTTTTTAAAGCTTGCCGCTACCGCCGAAATTAAAGACGAAGATCGATTACGTAAAGCTTTACGTTTTGAAATTATTAAAACGCTACGCGATTAACGTTATTCAAAATTTGCGAAGATTATAACTTTTAAAAACTTTTAAACCGCCGTCTAGCAATTAACTGCTAGCTAATACGCGTCCGCAAAGCTTTACGATGCTTTATAAGCTAAGTATAATACTCAATTCGCTAAGAGCTTTTATAATAAAGTTCGTAACGAATCTCGCTCGGCTTAAAAAGCAACGGTCAAGCAAATCGTTTATTACGAAAACCGCTTAGATGGCTTAGCTTTCGTCTCTTTCCTTACTCTTTAGCGCTAAACTTTTAATAACTTTAGCGCTAATATAAACCGATTTAATCGATTAAATAAATTCTCTTTTTTCGGAAACGCTTTTAAGTTTATAATTAAAACTTTTAAATCGTTTTGCAAAAACTCGAATACGCCGAAGCTCTTTCGTTATTACTTTATCAACGAAATAGAATACGGCGCTAAACTTAAATACGGCTTTTATTCGAATAACTCGAACGATAAGCTTTGTTCTAACGCTTTTAAAGATTATTGAAAGCTTTTTCTTATTAAACTCGACGCTTTCGATAATAAAAAAAACGTCGAAGCTTAAGCAAAGTTTTTTTTTTCAAGCCAGCTTCGAAACATGCGATACTTCGACTTGACGAAGCTCTTTAATAATGGAGCTATAATTATACTCGTTACTTTTACTAAGAATAGCTTTTCGTAAAAAGTATTTGCTTTGCTCGACTTGAAAGCTAATAAGTACGCGCTCATTGATTTAGCGCTATTTAAATCATTTTCTTTTTTTTTAAAAAACTCTTAATTCAACCGCTCTCGGCTTTATTTTTTATTAAATTATATAATAAAGCTCGTAATGTAAACACCTTGCCTGATGGGGCACCAGCTATGGCTATTAAGGCCACACTAGACGGACCTATCTTTTATAAGAGGGCACATATCTCTTAGCTAGAACAATCAACGAGCATTCCATCTATCTTTTTTAGCACTCTTTTATAAGACTATGAAGTCTAGCCTTGATATTAAGCTTTTATACGACATATCTTTTTAAGTGGTTTTATATTGGTGACTTACGTAAAGATTTAAACCTTTAGTCTTTGTCCTTATACAGCCTATTACAATCGCTTGATTCGCAGTCAAATTAACTTTCGTTTAGTTCTTTTTTATATTCGATAACTATAATCTTAAAATCATTAAAGACTTATTCCCGATAGGTTCGGACACCGGAACGCCGCAATAGCCGAAGTGTAATATTTCGGCTTTTCGGCAAAAACCTTCTTTTATTGCTAATAAAAAAGAATTTTCACTTATTAGTAAAAATATCCTTTTATACCCTAGCTCTTATTTTAAATTAAAGCAATTAATATAGTTTAGATTAATTAGCGATGCTAATTAGTTGATTTTTAGGTTTTTTATAATTTTAATCTTGATTATTAATTTACTTTTGCAAAAGGTTTACTTTTTTTAATCTTAAATTAATAACATTTTGCAAAGATCGTTTATTTAGCTCGTAACTCGGTTTACGAGTTAAAATTAAATAATTCAAAAACGTGCTATTAACTTTATTATTTTTAATATATATATATATTTGATCTTTAAAATATCGAAAACTTTCTTAAGATTCTCAATATCGAAGTTAACGCCGAATTACTTCCTTTTTCGTTAAAATCTTTTGATCTCGTTAAATCCTTTACTCGTATTCTTTTAAGCTTCGGATTAACTTTATTTTATTTCGACTTTTAATCGAAACCTTTATTTTTATTAAAAATAATTGCTTCGGAAATGCTTTTTAAACTCAACTTTACTTTTCTTCTTTTTGCTCTTTTAGCGGGCCCGATGCTAGTAATAATCGACCTTGCTATCTTACACGCTTTTATAATTGCTCGCATGCTATTATTAAGTGCTTTAAGAGCTTTTTGCTTTAATAATGCTAATATTACTGACTTTATCGAAAAATACGAAAAGACTTACGATAATTTCAATATCTTTATTTACGATCGGTTCGTTAAGCTTTTTTATTATTATAATAGCTTTTGCAAAGAAGTTATTAAAAGCTTGCTCGAATAAAAAGCTAAAAAAGATTAAGCTGCTTTCGTTAAAGCTTTAAAAGTCGAATTTCGTAAAAACGATACTTAATAGATTAAAGACTTGATCGCTTTTTTGCGGGAATTCATTATGCAAAAACGAGATATTAATAACTTAATAAACTATTGTCGTATTTTCTTTCGAGTCTTCAAAAGATTTACTTTAATGCACTTTTTAAGCAAAATTAAATAAAGCCGCTTTTTTCTTTTCGGATTGCTCGTTGGAATTCAAAATAAAACGATTGAGTATTATAAAGTCGACGAATTAAACCCGGACTTTTATGCTTTTTTCGAAGAGTTCGCTACGTTCGCTTTTAAAATCGACTAAAGCGCTAAGATTATCGAAGCTATAAATCGAAAAAAGTCTCTTTTAATTAATTTTATTAAAAATATTTAAACTTTAATTAAAAAGCATACCGAGCTAGCTAGCGTATTCGAGTCTATTAAGAAAGCTTTAATAATAATGCCGTTCATTCGTGAATTACGGTTTACGAATAAAAAAAAGAAATTAATAAAATAAGTTTTATAATTGTTGCACAGTATGGTCTGCACACGTGCTCCTCACGTGCTTGCACGTGCTCATTTGCACGTGCCTGCCAAGCTCTTTAAAGGCCACGTACCACACATGTACATATCTATAGTTGCTCCCGTGCTCTTTTAAATAGATCAGACACTTTTATCGCTATCTCTTAGACCTTGATCTGCTCTATTTACTTAGGTATACGCTATCTGTCATCATAGTTAAAAGCCATACGCTTTTACGAGCTCTTTTAATTATCGTTAATACGGTATAAACTGCTTCGGTAATTGCAAGATTATCGTTTTTTTTCTTTTCGATCGGTAAAAGTTGTTTTCCTTTCTGGCGCTCGGAGCGTTTAGTAAGAGCTTTTCAAACCTCATTTTACTTCATCTTATACTTTACTTCGAGCTATTTTACGATATATTACTTTAAAGCGCTTAATACTTTACGGATCGAGCGTTATAAATCGATTAGTTTATCGATTACAAAGCTGTTACGATAATGAAAAGCGTTTGAAAGCTTGTAGACTTTTATTCGAAAGAAACTTAGCTTCATATCTTTTCTTTAGAACCGCCGGCGCTACTTACGATTAACGACTTGATCGTTAAAAAGAACGAGC